TCTTCCGATTGACGGTGTGTGTAATCTTCCGGCCCATGTCTTCTTCCGCAGTTTGTTTTTCGTTCGTCCCTCGCAAAACCCTAACTTCATAGATGCGGTGATTTCCGGGTTCGAGTATTTGGGTGGTGAGAAGAAGGGTCGATAAGGCACGAGATGCAGTGAGGTTTTGCTATTCTTGGTGGTCATTTTGATCTACCCTTTGGATGGTGTTCAATGTTCATGGTCCAATCAATTTCTCTTCGTAATTTCTGATGCCCCATTGATTTCTATGCTATGTAGCAGAAAATGGATATGGGTCCTTGCCCAAAGGTCCACTCTTTGCAGCTCCGAAAATCGTATCATTTTTTGGGAACTTTCAACTCTTTCTCACTTGCTCTAAGCATGGAGCTCACATTCTCTAGTATCCGTGATAAGCTGCTTCTATGATACCTATTTCCCTTATTTAGTCAATTGCTCAATGCGGTATCCGAGACATTCATTGCCTCATGAAATTGTTTCGAGCAACTTTTTTAACCTTAATGGCACATGAGTGACATGATAGGCTGATAGCTTCACAATCAGTATTTCATTGGCTAAGTTGTTGGCAGTGTTTACATTTTGACTATTCACCTTCAGTTTATTCTTGATGTACTTTTATCCTGTCTAACTCGAGCTTATGAAATTAATCATGAAGAGTGACTCGGCGTTTGGAGTATAGGCAGAGTTGTTATTGGAAGATGCTATAGACAGGTTGATTTTTGAGTGTGATAGGAAGATTGGCAGAGCCATTAAGCATCTTCAGGAAGAGGATGCCAAAGCTGCCATCGCAATTTCGCATCTGAAGTCACCCTGGTGATTATCTTATTTCAGAATGCATTGAAGGTTTCTGTTATGTTATTATTGGCTGTTTCATACCAGGCCACCTTTTGGTCTTCCAAATACAGGCTCCTGAATTACTTGAGTTATCAAAACAAATTAAAGAGAAGATGAAGGAAACTTACTAGCACCGCTAACATACATAATATTGACATTTTCCGTGCTTCTTTTGAGGTGTTTGTTGCACAAGTTTATGTTCCTCTAATAATTTCGATGAAAGTTGTTATTATGTGATTATTTGTATGACTGGATAATGTGGTGATAACTTGAGCAGATGTCACATTCTTATCTCTGTTTCAACACAGTTTTCCTGGTTGAATTTTTTGGCATTGGTCTGCACTAAATCATTTTCAACCAGCCTGTGTAAGAAGCTTAAATGATAACAATCGGAATCAGAATGAATGGAAGCTATTGGAAAACCCTCATCTTCTAAAAAATAAAGCCTTGATTTTCTAATTACTGAAACTGCATCTGTGGTATTGCATGTGACCTTTTCTGAACATTCTGCATTTGAGGACCATGCATCTTTTACGGTTGCATGGCAAAGCTTCTACTAGTGACTGCTGTTTGGTTGTACACATTGAGATGCTGGCATGGTCTTAAAAGAAAATTTGATGCCACTTTGCAGATTCGGGGCAACTTAGCAGAGCTTCATGTATATTGTCTGACTCTTTCGTGCTGAAATTTGTCTAATTTGTTCGATGTGTTGCTTCTCAAGACCAACTTGGGGATGCATAGGGTAGTTGTTTATGTAAAGTGAAATTGCTTCTTGCTCGGAATGAATGGTACGAGGACATGAGGGTTTTCCAATAGCTTCCATTCATTCTGATTCCGATTGTTATCAGTGTGTGATCATTGGCTATTTCTGAGAGTTAAAACATTTTGACTTCCCAAATGATTCATATTCTCACTTCTCAGATCAAAGGAGCGGAGTAGGGATCGGGAATCGAGAAGAGACAGAGGCGGAGGAGACTGTCGGGGAGGAAGAGATCACGATAGTTACCATGACCGTGAACACATGGCAGAGACTTTGACTGATCCCGAAGCTATGATTCGAGAAGTCAGTGTGGGTCGTGCTCCCGCTCCAAGGAAGGGGCTATGATCTCCACAGGTACTGATTGCATCATACATAACACATCCACATAGTAATTTCAATATCTATCTGAAAGATAAGAGAATGATGATCAGAAGTCCTAGTTACAGGGATAGGTCAAAAGGAGAGAATTATATGTGAATGTAACACGTTGGAATCCGCTTTTGGATTTGTGGGTAGAATTGCATTATCAATTCAAGACACATTCTGGAACTCAAGATTCTCTTAATCTCTTTTCCATTTGTCTCTTTCTCTAAGCTTCTACTGTATCAAGTCAAGTGGGCTTCTCGCCTACAACTGAAAACACACACACACCCACACACGCGCGTATATTGCAATATAATATTATGTTAATTATTGAGGCATATAAGATGTATAAAAGATTGAGAGAGGATTCACTCTTGCAATGTCTTAGGATCAATCTGGAGGATGTTATGTGTTCTTCTAACCCTTGCTTTCTTTTTGGGAAACCGTATGTTCCCAAGTTTGTGGAGCTTTCAGACAGTTTCCTGTCCTAATGGTCAGAAGAGATTTGTCCTCGAGTCCTTGAGTGAGTGAGATCTTGTGGTATGTTTGATTAACGCAATCAGATTTTGTGTTTATGAAACAATTTCAGGATCTGACCAAGAAGAAAGACCTAGAAATTTCAACCAACTGTAGCTTAGAATCCACGAGCAAGAAAGAAAAATTCTGTGATGCAAAATGTACAGTAAGAACATCCAAGGAACAAACTTTATGTATGGGCTCAATTACGAGTCAACGTGTTCTCCATGCATTTGCTCAGTTTCTGAGTATCTGAACTCATCATACATATATACACACACACACACATATATATACATGTGGACATTCAATTATTAGGGACTTTATAGTTTGAATGATGCAAAGTTTTGCAACCTTTGAATAAAAAAACCAAAGCAGAGGCTAATAAAAAACAGCTTTATGAAAAAGAAAAACTCTCTTTCTCACTAATCTAGCTAATAATAAATTAAAATAACCGCAAAAGAAAGTGGTATTCTTCTAATATCGTCATTTATGTGTATATATGCATATTTTCGTGTAACAAGAATCGAATTAGCAGATTATGAAGGACAGATCCAATGAATTGTTTTGTTTCTAGTTCGAACTAAATATGTAATGCACAAAACCGGTATTATATGATGTATCTAGTCACACAACTTAAAGAGGGATTGGGACAAATGGGCATTAATATATAAATAATTGGACCACCCAAATTAAAAAAAGGAACACATATAGATACATACGTCGAATCTTGAATGAATGTCACGTAACTCTCTCCTCCTTCTCTCTTAAGAAAACCCTCTTCCTTCATTCTCTCTCTTTCTCCCTATATATATACACACACAAACCACCTAAATAGATTGAGATATATATATATACACACACACACATATATATATAGTGCCTTGGGGTAAAGGAGAAGAGAACATTAATGGGTGCATTTGATTATATTTCCAGCTTTTGCTCCTATACTTACACTGGCAAGAGAAAGCGTAAGCCATTGCAGGTCTCGTCTTCCACACTCTCTCCATCATTCTTTATATATACATATATATATAGTTCAAACTAAAAGAGTGTGCGTATATTATATATAAATTTGTATAGTCCATTTACCGTCACCCATTACATATTTTCGATTTACCGTATAGTCTTTGATGTTCGCCGTTTGAAGTTGCATTATCATATCTTCACTCACCGAATATATTGCGAGCTTTCTTACCCTTTTTTCTTCAACTATTATAATACGTATGTGTGTATATGCTTGTACGTCTACACCCCAATTATACGTCACAATCGTTCCATTTTATTACATATATATATATATATATATGTATCGTTTGCTTGTTTAATTAGGTATATAATACTGTTAAATGGATTTTGTACAGACGGTGGAGATCAAGGTGAAGATGGACTGTGATGGCTGTGAGAGAAGAATTAGAAATATAGTTCGTCGCATGAAAGGTATCTCCTTTTTGTTTGCATTTACTTTATGCTTTTTTTCCCTTCTTTAAATATTCTTATTCTTCTCTCTCTATATATACACATGTAATTACGTACGGAACTATATGCATACATGGACCGTCGTCAACCCACCAAAGTCATGATTACAAATTTAATCAATTGGTTCAATAAACCGGTACAGGGGTGAAAACCGTGGAGGTGAACCGGAAACAGAGCCGGTTGACGGTGAACGGACACGTGGACCCAAACAAGGTGCTGAAGAGGGTGAAGAGCACGGGGAAGAAGGCGGAGTTTTGGCCGTACATCCCCCAGCACGTGGTATATTACCCTTTTGCCCCTGGAATGTACGACAAACGCGCCCCCGCGGGTCACATCAGAAACCCCGGGCAGGCGTTTCCAAACGCAAACGCGCCCGAGGAGAACTACGTTTCCCTCTTCAGCGACGACAACGTCCACGGTTGCTCCATCATGTAATAATATCATACGAGAAAGAAAGAGAGTGTACTTAATTTTATATTACGTGAATCGTTACGCTAGGATTGAGAGGTGGACCGTTTTGGCCAACTAATAGGGTTTTCAAAAATAAACAAATGGCAAGAAAGCATATATTATATAAAAAAAAGCATCCTTTCTGATTTGTTTTCTGAAAATTTTTATTGAAAAGCTTTGATGGCGTAAAGAGGGTCAATCATATATATATATATATATATATATATATGCTTCAACGTAAAAAAATAAAAATCAAAGTGCTGAAAAGCTGTATTCTTTACTAAAATGGATGCAAAGGGGGACCAATCGAAGCATCGCCCGCTTTCTTTTACGTGTAGCTTTTTGCTCTATAGAATAAGGAATATATATTAGAGTTTTACCCAATATATATATATATATATATATATATATATTAGAGTTTTCGAAATCACAGCTAAGAAATGCAATTCAATCACGATACGTTGGTATTTTCATGTTCTTTGCAGTAACCTTTAGCAGCGTATGGTTTATGAACAGATCATAGATATCGTTATTCAGATGAGTTTTCACACTTTCGTCTTCACTTACGGTTCATATGTATATATATATATATATATATCATGCAAAAATGTTGAAAACATTAAGAGTATAAATCATAAACGTGATTAAGGCTTAGAAATGACAGTTCTAATTATAAGAGGCTGCATTAACCATCTATAATTAACAAGGAAGCATTAACATGATTAGTGGACGGCAATCATCACTTCACCAAAGATCTTTGACCCATTGAGCAAAACACACGTGTTTCTAAAGACACGATAGTTTAGGACATCAGACATCAATATCAACATCGCCTCATTCCCAAATTCATTTGGGGTTGACCGCATGATAGTTTCGGACATCATAAATAAGGAAAATAGATCAAACTATAACAATAAAATGTCCAAAGAAGGAGGACATACGTAAAGATTTATAAGATTGTATTTGAAAAGGGTAATTAAGAATGGGATTAGTGTAAGCCAAATATTTCAAACATCATGCTGTTTTATTAGTTCTCTAACCCAAACTGTATTCATGAACTTGGATCCAAGAAATGCCATTACGATAAGAAATGAAATTAAAAAAATATTCTATATATATATATATATCCATATATATTGATTCAGATCCAAAAATAGTGTATTTTTGCTAAAAAAAATATTGACGCTATTCACGTGATTATATTTAAGAAACAAAAAAGAAAAAGAAAAAAAGAATCAAGACGTTGAATCGGTCGAAGTTAAGAACAAGTCTTTCTCATGCCTCACCAACTCCATCGTCACTTCGACATTAGCCCTTAAAGCACACCATCAAACCCTCTATATACTGCTTTTACCAAATGCTTGCATCCACTAATGTTTATTTTATATATTAATATTTGTATACTTACAATTTGTTTTTTTACGTTCTATTATTAACTAACGCCATAAAAAAAAATATACCAACAAAAAAAAAAAACCCATTCAACGCGTGCATACATATACAAATGCATATTACTTAAGGCACTATATATATATATGGTCCTTATTATTCCATTGAAGTGTGAGCTGAGAGAGTTGCCCATCATGAAACCAAAACCTTTAATAGTTCATGTCTTCTCCATGATCATCACCATCATCATGCTTCTGCGTCTCGCAAGTGAAACAAATGCTGATTCTCCCATGAAACAAGACGAAATTACAACTGTGCCATCATCACCATCATCGTCGTCGTCGTCAGCCATGGAGTGCGGAACATGCCCTTGTGTCAACCCATGTGCTCAGCTGCTGCCGCCACCGGAAAAGGCCGGCTACTGCTATCCGGAGACTCCTCCTCCGCCGCCTCGGTTTACGTACGTGACAGATGTGCCCGGGGAGCTGTACCGAACCGAACCAGATTACCATTGGGACCTTTACTCTAGCGCGGACCGGGTTCCGGTTAAGTATTTCATGCTGCTTCTTGTGGGAGTAGTGGTCGTACCTGTGAATTGGTGAAAGGTTACACTAAGGGTGTAAAATAATTGTGGAGAATTTCATGTATCTATTAATCAATGGTACCTATCCGATCCCGGAAACGAGCAAAATAGCATAATTTTCCGGTTTATGTCAGGATTATGTTCGGTGATCTCCGATTTATTAATGTTATATGTATATTTATAAAAAATGTCGTTGATGACATCCAGATAAAAATTGAGGCTCCCTAACCTTCTTGTTCGTTCAGAGGCTCTCTAAATTTCTTTGTTCGTTCAGAAGCTCTCTAAGCTTTTTGTTCGTTTAGAGGATCTCTAACCTTCTTGTTCGTTCAGAGGCTGTCTAAACTTCTTGTTCGTTCAGAGACTCCCTAACCTTCTTGTTCGTTCAGAGGCTTCGTAAGCTTCTTGTTCGTTCAGAGGCTCCTAAGCTTCTTGTTCGTTCAGAGGCTCCCTAAGCTTCTTGCTCGTTCAGAGGCTCCCTAAGCTTCTTGTTTGTTCAGAGGCTCATTAAGCTTCTTGTTTGTTCAGAGGCTTCTTAACCTTCTTGTTCGTTCAGAGGCTCCCTAACTTTCTTGTTCGTTCAGAGGCTTTGTAAGCTTCTTGTTCGTTCAGAGGCTCCCTAAGCTTCTTAATCGTTCAGAGGCTCCCTAAGCTTCTTGTTTGTTCAGAGGCTCATTAAGCTTCTTGTTTGTTCAGAGACTTCCTAACCTTCTTGTTCGTTCAGAGGCTCCCTAACCTTCTTGTTCGTTCAGAGGCTTTGTAAGCTTCTTGTTCGTTCAGAGGCTCCCTAAGCTTCTTGTTTGTTCAGAGGCTCCCTAACCTTCTTGTTCGTTCAGAGGCTCCCTAACCTTCTTGTTTGTTCAGAGGTTCTCTAACCGTCTTGTTCGTTCAGAGGCTCCCTAACCTTCTTGCTCGTTCAGAGGCTCCCTAACCTTCTTGTTCGTTTAGAGACTCTCTAACCTTCTTGTTTGTTCAGAGGCTCCCTAACCTTCTTGATCGTTCAGAGGCTCTCTAATCCTCTTATTCGTTCAGAGGCTGTCTAACCTTCTTGATTGTTCAGAGGCTTCCTAACCTTCTTGTTCGTTCAGAGGCTCTCTAACCTTCTTGTTCGTTCAGAGGATCTCTAACCTTCTTGCTCGTTTAGAGACTCTCTAACCTTCTTGTTTGTTCAGAGGCTCCCTAATCTTCTTGATCGTTCAGAGGCTCTCTAATCCTCTTATTCGTTCAGAGGCTGTCTAACCTTCTTGATTGTTCAGAGGCTTCCTAACCTTCTTGTTCGTTCAGAGGTGCTCTAACCTTCTTGTTCGTTCAGAGGCTCTCTAACCTTCTTGTTCGTTCAGAGGATCTCTAACCTTCTTGCTCGTTTAGATACTCTCTAACCTTCTTGTTTGTTCAGAGGCTCCCTAACCTTCTTGATCGTTAAGAGGCTCCCTAATCCTCTTATTCGTTCAGAGGCTGTCTAACCTTCTTGTTCGTTCAGAGTCTTCCTAACACCTTCTTTTTCGTTCAGAGGTTCTAACCTTCTTGTTCGTTTAGAGGCTCCCTAACCTTGTGAACCTTCTGCAATATCCAACACCAACACAGTAGAGTGAGACGGATTAAATTGGCGAATCAGGAAATTGTTTCTGTCTTAATACGAAGATTCGGCTGGTCTGAATAGCCTTCGAGCAAACAAGTTTCAACTTCGTCTTCCCCCTATTCACCAATCCTTCGAACACATCCGACGAATCCAGAACCCTAATCCCTTCCTGCGGGGTTTTCTGGGGAAAACTCTTCGAAGATCTCACTCGATCGATCCAGAGGAGAAATGGGAGATCCGTTGGAGAGGTTGGGATCAGAGGCATCGATGGGAATGGAGTCCACCATGAAGGAGGAGCTCTGTATGGAGATCGATCCTCCCCTGCAGGAGAACGTCGCCACCGCCGAGGATTGGCGGCAAGCTCTCAGCAAAGTGGTTCCCGCCGTCGTCGTCCTCCGCACCACGGCGTGTCGCGCCTTCGACACCGAGGCCGCCAGCGCCAGCTACGCCACGGGGTTCGTCGTCGATAAACGCCGTGGGATCATCCTCACCAATCGCCATGTCGTGAAGCCAGGTGCTTTTACATTGCTTTAGCTGTTTGGCTGCAGAAGGAGTCGGTTTAGTGAGGAATTCGGCGTAGGGGTATGGAAATGATGGTTGTTTTAGTGGAAGTGAAGTTGGGTTTCCCAAATTTTGTATCTTTTTTGAGTTTGATTCCACTGTTACATTGCAGTGTTATTTGATGGTCCAGAACAAAAGATTCGGGTTTTATCCTCATCCTTTAGACAGCTTGAGAAGTATTAGCTCGGCTTGAAAGCACTTTATGTAGGTAGTCCTTTAATAAACGTGGATTCTAGGACAATATGAAGAGAATTCGAACTTCGTGCTTTATGTTTGAGTTGCTGAGGACAAAGGCATCTCTTTTACGTTTAATTTTTTTCTCTGCCCGCCCTGTTTTTACTTTGGCAGGTCCTGTAGTTGCCGAGGCAATGTTTGTCAATCGTGAAGAAATTCCAGTCTATCCTATATATAGAGATCCAGTAAGTTCATAGTTCTTTCACGTTTGATCCTATTACCTGAGAGACTGTATTGTGGACTTGTCCTTATTGCATGGGCTGAACTGAAACTAGGTGTGCGTTCTGGGTTGTTAGATTCTTGAAAACCTCAGTTTAATAAGTTTTGGTTGTGATAAAGATCCAAGTGTCTTCTCTGCATTTTCACTTTCTTTTCAAGAGGTGGATTCATCTTCTACTTTAGCGATTCTTCTCATTCAGCTACACTGATTCTGGAATCTGGGAGTGGTTTCTATAATCGTAGGTGTCTCGGAAATTGGCTTCTTGATCACTTGACATATTTCTAGCAGCATGCGGCCATTAGAGTAAGGTTATGATAGCATCCACTGTTATGTGAATTCTTGATATATTCTGGAACTGATTTAAGATAATTGGTGTAAGTCTTCTCTTGTAAGAAGTGATGGCTACTAGTTGAAAATTATCCACTGCATTCTCTCATTTTGTCTTTTACGGCTCTAAAAAGCTGAGATATCAAGCTTGATAGTCTAATACGTCCATTCTTTTTCCTTTTAATTTCACTTTACAATAGTCAATTCTTCGCATGGTAGCAGAAAGTTCCTCAATGGATAAATGTCTAGTTTCTAAAATTATGGGTTTGATGCGTGTTTAGTTGCAATGCTCATGTGTTCGAAGAAGGGAAATGCTCTTTTCAAATCAGAAATTATATCTCATCTTATTTGCCTTACTCTCTCTATGGTATTTTCCTTCTTCTATGCATTGATGTCCTGATCTCCTCATCAGGTTCATGACTTCGGTTTCTTTTCTTATGATCCTGGTGCAATACAATTTCTGGATTATGAAGAAATTCCTCTTGCCCCAGAAGCAGCTTGTGTTGGGCTTGAAATCAGGGTTGTTGGCAATGATAGCGGAGAAAAGGTAATCTAAATATGATCGTGTCTATATTTGTATAGTGTATGGATATTTCATTTCGCAGTTCGGATAAGATATTAAGATCCAAACTGTCTAATTAGCTTTTCTGATAGCTCAGTGATCTGTGTTGTTTTATGTTGCTGAAAAGAAGTGTTTAATAATTGTTGTTGCTATACATCAAGCTAACTTACTACATACTTCTAGCTATATGTTTTTTGGTTTTACATTATATTACACCGGCCCATTAGGAATAAACTATAAATATAGACAACCGGGTTTGGGGAATATATACATAGAGAGAGAGAGAGGAGGGGGGGGGGAGAGAGAGCATTGTTCAGACTTCAGATTTTCCGTGTCTGGAGTTTCGTTTTTCTTAATTAGGAAGAAAGACCAGAAAGTTTATCCCATCATTTGAAATTCCTCAGGACTCGTCTACCTGTATCCACAATAATCAGCGTAGGTGCTTTCAGTTTTGTGTTCAATTGAATGTGATTTCAACCTTGTTAGTGACCTCAAAGCTTCTGTTATACATGAGAAGAAAATTTGAATCTAGACAATTTACTTCTTTTGATTTTCTTAAGTAGTATCTTTTCTTTTGAAACTTTAGCAGCCACTTTTGGGTTTGGTATCTCCCAAAGCATGTCTTGCAGGCTTGTTTATGGATTGATTTTATCTCATGAAGTATTTGATCTAAATTTGATGTTACGCTTTAATTTGTGTAAAGACATGTATGCCAAAATTATGCTCTAACTGGAATGGGGAATTGTAGGTTTCTATCCTCGCTGGTACTCTTGCTCGTTTGGACAGAGATGCTCCACATTATAAAAAGTATTTTCTGTTTCACGATCATTGATTTTCTAGCTCTATTTAATTTCTTTTGTAGCCTTTCTTAGTTCTTGTTATGAAAGTTGGTCGTTATTGGTTCTTAAAACCTAATATTATTTTTGGTGCAGAGATGGTTATAATGACTTCAATACATTTTACATGCAAGTAAGTGATTCTTCTTTTATTCCATAAATCGATTCTTACTTCTAGTTTTACTTACGAGATCTTTACCAAGCCATAGCTGCTAAACATTTGTTGTATCTCATATGTGTTATTGTTAGAATTGGCCTTTTGGGCAACTGCATAAGATTGGATGGTGAACTTTGTATTTTTTTCACCCGTATGAATAACTAAAATTAGTGTTGAGGCGTATGCACATGGTGTATCTCTAGATGCTGGATGGAGCCAAATAGCATCAAGTCATCGGATTTTTTTTTGGATTTGCTTATTTTTCAATGAACCATGTTTCTAAATTAGTTCCGGTCTTTGTTAATTTCTTTTTGTGGAAAGAGTTTTCACTTGTATTTTTTATATAAATATCCACAAGATAGTGTGATTAGTTTGAACAACTTGAATATCTTGCCCTGTAACACTCAACTCCCTTGTTCTAGTTGTATCAAACCTTTAAACATGAGCTAGAGCGCTTCATGTGTTAAGATTTTGCTTTGAATGTTCACAGGCAGCATCAGGTACTAAAGGGGGCTCAAGTGGCTCCCCTGTCATTGATTGGCAAGGCAGGGCAGTGGCTTTGAATGCAGGCAGCAAGTCATCTAGCGCATCAGCCTTCTTCTTACCTCTTGAACGAGTAAGCTATTTAATCTCATTTTCTTCGTCCATTATTGAGATGTTTCAGTCAATACTAGTTGGTCAAAGTGATGTTTGTAATGTGTCCCACTTTCTGGTACTTTCAAAGTGACCTTGGATGTGAGCCTAGACTCCCACTCAATCTTGTACCCTATGGAATCACAATTAGGAAAAATCTGAATGGGAAGAGGCCTTGTTTGCAGGAATTTGACGACTATGTAAACTCATGAGCTTCTACTTCTGAAAGCAGTATTGACAAAAAGCAAATAGAGCTGCCCATTAGGATCATTGCATGTGATTATACTTCTGCAAATTGTTCCATGTTCAAAATGATTTGAATTGGTTTTGTTATCTTAGTTAATAACATTTAAAAAAATGGGTTTAATATTACCATTGGATTAAAATCTCTGAACTTGTTTTCTTGCTTTTGAGATCTCTTCTTTTCTTGCAATGGCCTGCATTTTCTAGGGCAAAAATTGATGACAATGATGAGGTCAGATATAGTTTATATTTTCATTTCTGATTTCTGGTGCATCTAGTCAATTCTGTGATGTATAATCTCATGTTTGTCAGGTTGTAAGGGCATTGAAGTATCTCCAGAAAAGCATCACTTCGAGCACAGAAAAGCGACAAGCACTCGATATTCCTCGTGGTACGCTTCAGGTTTGTTTTCTTGGCTACTGTAAATTGATTCTTTCCTTTTTCAGCCATCTCACAGTACTATGAACAAATTTTTCAAGTGGGACTGATGAATTTTCTTAATTATGTTCCTGAAAAGTGCCAACAAAGTCCATTACTAATTAGTTTTAATTTGGAAACCATTTGGGTTCAGTTTCTCGTCCACAAAGTTACCCATATTATCAAATGGGTTTCTCATGGAATGGTATTATTGAATCTAAGAAGCTGTCTTTTGTACCTGGATTATTTTAGATTGCAATAATATATATATATATATGCGTATGTATGTATGTATGTAGATGTCTGTGTATATATAACTATGTTAATGAGCATAAAGTCTTGAACTTAACTAATACAAAATTTCGAAATCGAGATGCAATTCTTCTGATCTGGATGTACTTTGTGATTCTATTAAGAAGAATTCTCTATTAACTTGCTAAATACCATTTGCCATAGTTCTGCACGATTTGCTATGCTTGCAATTTATTTGTGCAGTTTCGGAGGAGGTTAATTTCTGTGATTTGGTAAAATGTACTGGCGGTGTCTGTTTGACCGTTTGTATATTTCTTTTGTATATGTTATGTAGGTGACCTTTCTTCACAAAGGTTTCGACGAGATACGCCGGCTTGGTCTCAGGAGCGAAACTGAGCAGGTATCTGACTTGTTTTCTTGTGTTAAAGAATGGTTCATCCATTCGTTGCAGGTCGTGTCATAATTCATTCAGTTTTTGGTTCCTTAAAAAAATGCTCTCTTCTGGCCTCTTTAGGTGGTTCGACATGCATCTCCACCTGGGGAAACAGGAATGCTCGTTGTTGACTCTGTGGTGAGCGTATTGTGCTGCTGTAAAACGACTACTTGCTACCATTATCTTTAAGTCGATATATTTGATCTATCCTACCTTCTATGTCTCGGGTGCTGTAGGTGCCAGGTGGTCCCGCTGATAAACATTTGGGGCCAGGCGATGTTCTCGTTCGTGTGAATCGGATGGTAAGCTATACTCATATCAAGTACCGTTCTTTATCACTTTTTTCCTCTTTTTTTTTACGAGAATTTGTGGATTCTGATGACTTTCTAGGGTTTTGTTCTCTTTTGCTACTACTTTATTAGAGATATGGAGGGTTAAAAAATTGGTCAAACTAAGAATCTGTTAAGTAGTTCATTTAAAAGCTCTAGCTTGTTTCCTAGCCTTAGTAAAATTTCCCTAC